GTAGGAAAGGCCAAGAAATTCTGCTGAAGGTAAAGCAGTTCATGACACAGCACATATATCCGGCTGAGAAGGTAAAAGTTTTTAGTAAACTTATTCCTAAATGACCGTTTTGTGAGTAGAGTTTACAAAAATGTAAAACTTTCATATAGAAATAATGTCCTCCTATTTTTTTTTCCTTCCCCAGAACAGCTTTATTTTTCACGCAGTGATGTTTCTGGTGGTGCTTGCAAAATATTAACGCAAGTCGTTACAGTTTGCATGAATCTTCTTGAAGAAATGAAATGTTGTATGTGTTGTTAATAAATGCTAAGACTTACTTTTAAAAGTGGAGGAATACCTTGTTCATAGTTAATACCATGGTATCCTAACAAAAACCTAGAACTCTTACATACGAAGTGCAAGGATTCATACTTAGTTTTGACGTAGTGCATGCGTGCAGGTGCTGTGTCACTCTCTTTAGTGAGCTCACACTGTCTTATGTCTCGTAAATTCTCAATCCTATTCCAGACTCTTGTTTTCACTTCTTTCTTGAGTTTTTTGCTTTTCAATTCCAAGGAAGAAGTAAAATCAGGACACAAAGAGCCTAACGTTTGGATTTCTTTTATTAATCTAATTGATTTAGAATGTCACTGTGGTTAGGGTGCTTAGGATGGTGGTTCTGTTTTTCCTTTTTTATAGATACTCTGAGACCCTTTATTGAAAGTATTATTTCTATTAATTCTGGTGTGTTGTCATGGACACCAGATGTGGTGTGATTACATGAGTGTATTACACATCTTCCTTTCTCTTATTCAGAAATTGGGAGTAGCCAGAATGCAGCATTTCATGAGACAGCCTCATATCAAGTATTGCATTATGTCTACCACTGTTTCTGTGCTCATTGTAGCTCACTGCATTACAGCATGCCTATATTCAGATTTCTTGTTAGAAACTTTGGAATTAAGATTGAGGAAGTGTTGTCTTCTTCAACTAATATGTGGAGAAGCATGTTGTTGCCCTAATTTTTCTGTTCCTGTAACTCTAGCCTATTACTTTATTCAGCCTTAATTCAGTATATGATAGGACAAGGTTTTTGGGTTTTTTTTGCTTTGGTTATAGTTCGCAGTATCCTGAGCTGTTGTTATTCTGAAAAGGTAATGTAATGCTGTATAAGGAATTCATGCATAACTTCCATGACTGCATGTTGCTGATTTTTGTGTGACTCTGTAAATCTCCTATTTTAAGAATATTAAGGTTTTGGTTTTTTTGCTTCAAAGGGGAATATACTCTGGGTTGTCAGTTTAAAAAGGACAATACTGTTTTTAACCATACAATATTCAATGCTTCGGTCTCTCTCTCGCTTTGGTCTCTCTCTTCTTGTTTGTATGTTAGTGAACATGATTCCATAATGTATCAGCGTAGCCTCATTCTTGGATATATCTAATACCAGCGAAGGTATGAAATCAAGAGAGTGGAAATATCCACAGAAATCCATAATTAGAGGAAGGTAAAATGAGATGAAGCATTTTTCTTCTCAATTTAATGAAATGTTAAAAATTGTTCATTTGGAAAGTCGATTCAGTTTTCAGTCTAGTGGAAGCGCAGATGACATTTGTTGCAGAGTTGGGTGTTTCTTTGGTTGGATGTTTTTCGTTGTTTTTCTAGTCAGGCAGAAGTGTAGAGAACTAAATGGCTTATGAATATACCTGCCTACCACAAGGAAGGGTTGAGAGCAGAAATTCTTGGTATCTAAAGTTTCTTAAAAGTCTATCTGTAACTAGTTTTGGATTGTTCTGGAAGGAAACCTTTAAAATAATTAGGTGTACTTGCTTTAAAAACAAACATACGAACCACAATTAGCCATGAAAGTTCTGCAGTGAGTAGCGTTGTTGTTTTAAGTTATTTCTGACAGCAGGACTTGCAAATCAGGAGTTGTAGGTTCTAGTTCTGAATTTCTCTTACTGTGTAATTTTTAGGAAAGGCATTTAATCTTTCTGTGCAACTAGCGTAATAATTGTTTCATGGCAAAGCTGTGTGAAAGATGCTCTGGAATCCCTGAATAAAGAGAATTGTGTAATATCATAAAATCAGCACACAAAATTGTTTACCTGAAAATGAAGTTTAGACTTACAGTTCAGTGTTCCTGCAGTGTTTATAGAGGAAGAATATAACAGGTAGGGAGAAGGGAGAGTTTCTTAAGCACTGTTTTTTTTTTTTTTCATTCTAAAACTCGTTCTGGGGCCATCTTCGTAGTGCTATGCCTTACTAAAATATCCTTGTCAAATACTAGGTTCCCTAAATAGAACACAGTTCTATATAGTACTAATACTCACTGCTCAGAGTGAAAGTTTACATAATCTGTCAAGAAGTTATTTTGACAGGAAAAAAAAGCATTCTTTGCGGTTTTGCTCTGTTAAAAATGATTAAATAGCTTGTATATCTGAATGGTGTGACAGGAAATCTGGATGTTATGTGCTAGTACATCAGACTGAGTTTTATCTGTTGTTTGACTTTTGAGTTTATTTCTCGCATGCATGCTTTTTGTACCAGTTCCTTGTATCTTTAGAAAACATTGTGTCTTCTACTTTCCTCATCATATGTTTTAAACCACTGCAAGCCATTCGCATGTGTGAAATGTACTGATGGGGATCATCTCCATGATGCATTTAAAGTTTTGCAAAATGAATAGATTACGGCTTGATTTTTGAATTATATTTTTAATGTGTAATGCAGCCAACTGTATGACAGAAAGAGATATTGAATACTTTGTTGTTAGTTCCTTAAGGTGCAGGGCTCTAAAACAAACCATATAATTACTTGTATATGTTAAATATCATTATTTATTTAAACAAACTCTTTAATTGTTTCTCTAAGGAAATAATAAAATACTATGCTGGACATGAAAAAGCGAAGGAAAAATGGAAGAAACCACCAGTGCTTGAGAGACTGAAGGTACTGGATAGTAAATATTCTTGAGCACTGTAGCGATAAAAGCATGGTATATGCCTTTGGAGAAGTTACTCTGACTGCATGGAAGGAAACAGAGCGAGGAACAGTGGAAGGAAAGAAAGAAGGAATTAAGGGAAGCATGCAAAAGGAGATGAGAGATACAAACGAAAGTGGAGAAAAGTAAAAGTGAGTTCTGTGAAGGGTATACCTAAACTTTAACTCAAAGACTGTATCTATTGAAAATAGCTATTTGAGGGAAAAAAAAATAAAAAAGCAGCTATATTGGACAATGTAATAGGCAGGAAGGAAGAAAATGGGTAGCAGGCCAAACTTCATTGCAGGATGAAAGTTTATTGCTAGTGTTTTTTCCTTTGACTTTTTCAACAGGAAATGGCAAAAGCAGAAGGTCTGTGGAACCTTTTTCTCCCAGATGTCAGTGGTCTCAGCCAGCTTGACTATGCGCTAATCGCTGAGGAGACAGGGAAATGCTTCTTTGCCCCTGAAGTTTTCAACTGTCATGCACCTGGTTAGCACACTCTGTGCCTAAACTACAGCACTGCGAATGTTATAAATGTGGGCATCTTATACCTTACCAGTTGGGTGTCTCTAGAAGTAAACATGACTGCTGATTTCTTACAGATACGGGAAACATGGAGGTCCTCCACCTGTACGGGACCGAAGAGCAAAAGAAAGAGTGGCTTGAGCCTCTCCTTGAAGGGAAGATTAGTTCTTGTTTCTGCATGACAGGTAAATTTTTCTCCGGGAGAAAGTTACAGGCAACTGGCACAATTTCCACAATAGCTTTTGCAAAAAACCACAAGTTGTTATGTGTTAATGAATTAATGCAGATATTTCCACTGAGCCTGTGAGTGTGACCCCGGAAAGATATGAGTGCAAAGTTAGGCACCCTTGCTGTACTTTCAGAGCTTTCTGTCTGATGGTTGCCACTTCGGAGTGTTAAAATAATTAGTGTTTGCTTTCCACATGGTTTCAATTTATTTTTAGTACTAGTAAAGTATAGGTTATTGTACAAACCAGATTTACGATAGCACTTACCATTTTTACAGTGTGCTTTGGGGGTTCTCTAGAAACATACATGTAGGTACAAGTATGATGATTGTGGTTAAAGTTGTATAGTTTTGCATTATGTCATGATTGGCGTTTTTGGGGCATAACCCTAAAAATAACTCGAGAAACACATGATGCACTTTCTTTATGTCTTTAGCTCAGCGTCATATGCATTACTATTGGAATCTTGTGTCATTCAGCACCTCTGAAAAGCTTGACTTTTGATATAGGAAGGTAACTTTTAAACATGCGATGTCAAAATTTTGGCCTTCCTGTGTCAGCAGGAGTTGAGAGAACTTGGTCTTACAGAGTTGGATCTTTACTTTGCCTATTCTATTTCACTCTGTCCCCCAAGAGTAAAAAGATGCTTTCACTGAAAACTTGAGAGAAGATGGCTTAACAAAGAAGTTTAGGGTGAAAGGAAACAGAATTAATCTTTCCTTTTCAAGATCATTGCTGACACTGCTGGCAACCAATTTATGTAACCTATTTCATAAACCAGTCAAGTGTCATCATAAAAGAGGTTTAAATCTCTTTCCTTTCACTGGAAAAACAAAGGCTGAGAAGAGATATGACTGTTATCTGTAAGTAGTGCATTGGGAGGGGAAAGGATTTAAAAATGTCAGGAAGGGAAGAAGGCTTTTTAATATAAAGACTAGTTTGGGCCCAAGAACAAGTCAGCTTAAGCTGCCTATGAATAAAGTGTCGTTAGAAAAAGAACGCCTTTGACCACCAGCAGTGAGGTTCTGAAACGGCTTTTCTACTGGGAGCAAAATAGTGTGTTTACAGTATATGTAGATCCCTGTATTTGTGGTGGTAGTGCTATACAGGTAGTACCTGTATACTTAATCTAGTTGTTTGTTTTGTTTTGTTTTTTTAACACAGAACCTGATGTAGCTTCAAGTGATGCCACCAATATGCAGTGCAGCATTGAGCGAGATGGAAACAGTTACGTGATCAATGGCAAGAAGTGGTGGAGCAGTGGTAAGCACAGAAAATCTAAATAAGAGTGGCTAAGTCTAAACTTCCTTCTAAGAACTGGTATAACAAAAATATTTGCTTTCCAGTTCTGAGATGAAAAATTGTCTCCTCTTGAGGAAAGACAACAGAAGGTAAACCAGTAGAAAGCAGAAGCAAGTCTTTGTTTTATTAGACAAAGTCCAAAAGTCAAATCTGAGTTGGATTTTCAGGCCCTTTTAAGAACCTCTGATTTTAGTTCATGGAACAAATGCCACAGTTGTTCTTTAAATTATACTTCTTTCCATCAGATAACTTGCGCCTTTATGGCAATAGCCTTCAAACTTTGTTTTTATGAAGCTGTCTCTGTCAGCTTGTGTGTGAGATTTGGGTATACCATCTACAGTGAAAATGTGGCTGTTTTTTAAACGACTCTTTTATGCTGATTGACTCTCACTGGCAATTTTCCTATGTTGTTCTTCCCAGGAAGATCAATGGGTTGGTTTATAAATGGTAAATGTCCCTGTCACAGTAGTGCAGTTACTTTTTTATCCAAACGTATGTGACAGCAACTGGAAAATCATAATTCCCTGAGAGTTTGGAAGCTAACTGAATAAACTGAGCTGCTGACTAGAGATAAGCTTGAATGTTTTACCTATGTACTTTTGTGTGGGGAAGCTATGTACTCAGATATGCCTGTGCAATACCTAGACTCACCAGGAGATAGGGCTCTTTGTCTCCTTTCTAGTATATCAGAGCTGGAGGTATGATATTTATACCTTGCCTCTTCATCTGAGAGTGTCACTTAATAGCTAGCTTGCCCTGGGACAGTGTCTCCCAGCTGTACATTGCAGTCCCCAAGGCGGGTAATGGAAAAGTTTGTAGCAGGTAACACACAAAAGATATTACTCATAAAATGAGTTATGTGAATAATAAAAAGAGGAGAGCGCAAAAGTAAGAGAGCGTTATTTGGCTTGTCTTATTTCTAATAAAAAAATAATTAGGACAGTCAGATTTGTATAAAGACGGACACAAAAGGCACAAATGTGTAGCTCCAGTCAGAGCCTCCTTTTCTGCTGTTTGTTTGTTTGTTTTGGTCTGGGTGGAACTTGAGGACTGGGTACTCTGCACTTACACGGTAAATACAGTATGGCTTAAACGTGTCACATTTACCAGTGTATAAGTAGACCATCTGTGTAGCACATCTGTCAAGCACTTCTGACTTTACAATTCACACCCTTGTATTTCTGCAAAATACTGGACAGAAATTCTGTAAGATTCTGCCATCCAAAGAGAAAGAAGAGGTTTGTGTCTTACGTATGCTACTGTTGTTCCTTGTCTATCGTTTCAGAATTTTTTCTTCCAGTCCATGATTGTGTAACTAGGAGCAGAGTCCAAGAATGAGAGGTTCTGGTTGGCTTTCATAAGCAACAGATGATGTGGGGCAGTGTGGTGTAACACCACTTTTTCATTTTGAAAGCTAATCTGTTGATGCATTTCAAATGTCTCTAGAAACTCATGGAATAACTGCTGTTTTCCTAGAATTCTGGCCAGCGCTGTGCAGGGGTCAGCTTCGGTACCCCTCTATGAAAGACTGTAAATTCCACCGACTATGAGTTCCACAAGGAGTCGGAGCCTCTCTCATTCATGAAGCAAGGCCTCTAGCTTTTCCTGATAGATAAATAAAAACCTGTGATGAGAGATGTCAATGCTTACTAAAACAAAGCAAGATAAAGACAGCAAAAGTGGAAGCCAATGCACTTTTCATATTTTTACATTTTATTGTGTCTTCATATATTTTATTTTAGAAGATTATAATTATTGCAGTGCCTGATTCATTTTACAAATTCCTACTAGAAATTCCAGGCCCTGTGTCAGAAGATTAGCTTAAAACTTTTTCTTATTCCTGCTAATACTTTGACTATACTATTTTGACATTTACAAAGCCAAAACTTCACATAGTGCCATTGTTTGGCCAAGGAACTAGTTTTAAGTTTTATGCGTGCTCTAAAGGAATAACACTTGGAATATGAGTACATGTTAGAACTTTGGGCAGAGCCAATACAATAAAAAAAGATCAAAGAAATAGGTAAGTTTTGTATATACACACACACTTGTTGATTTCTTTTATCACGGTAAACAGAGTTTTCAGTTTATTTAGCCATACAATTCTTGGGCAAATCTACAGTGCGTTGCCTCTCTTAACAGCGTTAATTAAGTGAACAATGTGTAACTTCCCCATTGTGGAATCAAAAAACTGGCCTGCCATCTTCTACTATCCCTCTTGCAGTCTTTTACCAACAGATGTCTTCCCTCATACCGTATTTGTACTGAGCGTCTCTAGGACTTCAGTGGCTATCTAATCTTTTTGTTAGTGCTAGGGACTTTATTTTTATTACATTATCTTCTGTATCAGCTGCCTAAGATTGTTTCTTGAGGTTATCCTTGGATATCAAGTGGAGTTAGTTCAGTTACAAGAGGGATATGGATCTATGGATTTTATTCATTAAGCACTTCACTCTAACATCGGAATGAACAGTTCCAAAACAATTACCTTCTTGCTTTCACAGGTCAGTGTTTCCTTGTCATTAGTTTCTTCTTTAAGGACAATTACTGTCTGCATCTAGCTCTACTGCGTATAGTTTATGCTCTTCTTTCAGCCAGTGATTGGCATGAAAGCTCAGAGCCCCCACTACACCTGTAAAATCCAGAGACATGCAATAAAGGTACATATAAAAGTATATATTTTTGTAATAGATCGTAGGGCTCCCCATTCAAAATTAAGATAGGGAATAGCTGAAAAATGTAAGGCCATTCCTTGGTTGCCTTGATACTTGTTGCCCAAGTGTTTTGTAAGAGTGAGAGGGAAGCTGAGCCATTTTTTTAGGAAGTGACAAGAATGAGATCCTGGATAACCGTCTCTTATGAATCTAGGATCAGAACCAGAGATCTGGAACGTACCCCTCATGGGACACAGGGTTGCTGAAGTTCAGAGTGAGCAGAAAATGAAAGGGAGAGATGAAAGGTCATTTTAGGTAGTTCCGGAGAAGGAGTTGTTGATTTTCCTGGAGGTATGTTGTTGTTGCTATATGTATGTGGAAACACACAATAGCTTTTTTGTTTTGTTTTCTGTTTTCTGACTTAATTCTCAGCTGTGAACTGATCCCTCATTTCATTCATTGCTGCAAGGGTATCTATGGGATGATAGCTAAGGAAAAACATGGAAATTTTTTTTAGGCAAATGTTCCAAGCTGTTACAAAACAGAGAAGTACACCTATAGTGTTACATTTTAAAGGCATGAAAATTACTAACTTTTGATATAAAAGTTCCTGTACTGTGGTGTTATTGCTTTTGGTTTCTTTATCCATTTTAGGCATGTACAGATTGTTGACCTATATAATAGCCTAGTACTGTGACCCTTTTAAATCTTTTTTTTTTTTTTTAAGTGAGTATCTCCAGTTGTTTCTAGTACTTTCAGTATACAGTTTTTGCCTGCTGCTTGCTTTTGATCAACATGTTCCATTTTGAACTGCACTGTAGTGTCCTGGCTAGTTTGTAGGTCCAGAAATTCATCTGGAAGTTGACTTGCAAAACAGATGTGGAAACAATACCCCTTTAATTAGTAAATAAACCCTTTGTTACACAAGATAATGAAAACAGAGTGTCTATATAGTGAAGCTAATTGTTTCTTCTGTATGGTCTTCATAATTCATAGAAATTTCTTCAGTTATTCCATTCTGTTGTTGTCTTCTCCAGTATCCGTAATTTTTTGCTATTTTCATAATATGCATTTTAAAAGACGCACCCAGAAAGGCGTACAGAAGAGGGTTCAGGCAGGTGTGAAACAAAGCTATGCTCTTAGTTACCTGGAGTGCAACATCTATAGTTTTACTTGCATCACAGTCAGTAATCAACAGGTAGATGGTATCTATGGCTCGCCAGAACTTAACAGTGTTGTAAGGCAGTTGAGTAATAATAAAAGTGGCTACTACTGCCAGCAGAACTATGAAGGGTCTAGATTTTTTAGCATTTGGAGATCTAAAGATTGCTCTAGCAGTAGCTGAATAGCAGGTCAGCATTACTAGGAAAGGAAGCAGAAATTCCAGGATAATTTCCAGGATTTGAATGGCTGCTTTTAAGAGTGTTTCCATGTTCACTGGAAATACAGGAAGGCATTCATTCCTGTCATTGTATTTCTTCACTTGGTTAAATATCAGTTCAGGGATACTGAGTACAATAGCAGACAGCCAGACCCAGATGCAGGTTACACTGCACTGTTTTCCAGCTCTTCTATGACCTTGGGATTTGCAAATGGCCCTGTATCTATCCACACTGATGCAGGCCAGGAACAGCATGCCAGAGCTGAAATTCATGGTGTATAAAGAAGAAGTGAGCTTGCACATGGCGTTTCCAAGTTCCCATCCCTGCACTGCATTTGCAGCCCAAAAAGGGAGTGTGAAGAGTAAGAGCAAATCAGCAATGGCCAAATGCATGATGTACACATCTGTCTTGGTCTTCGGTTTCTTGCAATAGGCATAAATTGCTACCACTAATGAATTTCCAGCGACTCCAACAGTGAAAGCCAACGTATAGAACACAGGGAGGAATAATTTACTGAAATTTCTTACATCGTCCTTTTCACAAAGCAGCTCATACGTGTTGTAATCTATAACAGAGCTGAGATCACCCTCGTCCTCAATCCAGTAATCAGTTGAGCTGTTCATATCCCAGCCCATGGCAAAAGCTGCAGGACAAAGAGAAAGAAAAGCAACTTGGTTCCAAGTTTTAAAATTTCTGTTGAAACCTAAAATCCTTTCTCAAGGTTGCTTATCAATCTCAAATGTAAACAAGTTAGATATTAAGAATGCATTTGCAAATAGTCAGACTACTAGAGCCAGTACAAAGAGCTAGACAGTGATGGAGGCAGAAGAGACCAAGTCTCAGCTTCTCCTGTGAAGTGGGGTAACTGACCATATCGATGCAACGCAAAGTAAAATGGATTCACTTCAAATGCTTGCATTAGCCTCAGTGTTTGAGGCTGCAAGAGGCTTGTAGTGCACCTCACTAGTTAGCACATTTCAGCTGAGGAGCCATCATTGCTTCAACTGCTCTGACTCAGTTATGTATGACTATATTCTATTGCAAAATAAATTTGCCTGCACCTCTGTAGAGTTGAAATTACACTTTTTTTTTTCTCTATACAGCCTCAGCAAAGCAAAGCAGTACTGGTTAAAGGCTCTGAATACTATTACCCTATAGTGGATAAGGCCTATTAGCAGTTTGAAGCTGAGAGGAAAGTAGAAGTATTCTACTCTCATATATTTCTGGCAAATTTGGGATGCGAGTATTATATAGGGAGAGTGTGCTTGTTTGTTTCTCAGGCACATGTATACATACCAATTACTTAAAGCACAGCTGTCTAGTGGAATCAGCAGTGGGACACAATTACTCAGTTTAGTCTCCATCTCACGCAGTGAATGGCTTTAGGCCCGAGTGGAATTTTTTATAGAATCAAATTAGTGCGGGTATGCTGCATCTTATGGCTGGAAACTTCTCAGGATGTTATGTATGGAAAGGAATCTTATCACATACAAAACTGCCCACAAGCACCCAAACAGTTCAGAACCTCTGCTATTTTTTCAAGTTCATCTCATGACATGACTTAGTGTTAGTAAACACTGAGGTTATGTTCTCACTGCCTGTTTAAGGTTGAAGTTTAGTATTCTTATCTTCAGACTGATTCTTAGGCAAGCCATGTCCTACAGTATGTTCTTTTCTTCCTGTAATTGTGTTCATTTACTAATTTGCTGAAATTCTTTGCTGAAAACTACGCTCTACAGTACTCCATTTTCTTGAGATAAACAGGATTAAGATTTCTTAGCAAGAGTGGCAAAAAGCTGCTGAAAATGAAAAACACATTCCTTTCTCTCATCTTCGGCAGTGTTTCAGAATTCAAGGCCAGTATTACTGAAAACAAATTCTTACCTGGTATTCTACCCAGAGCTACAATTTGGCATTTTCACATTTGAAAAAATTGCAAATATTATTTCTGTTTTTTAAAGAAGGATTTAATGAAGGGTTGCCAAACCCTTATGAGCAGTAGCTCTTTGAAAATTTTCAGTGCTCTCTGTCTACCAGTAAGAATAAGGTACTGACTGATGTCATAGTCAGGGATACAGACCAATTAATTAGAAAGAAATGAATAATTTCCATCCTTGCTTGACACTTATAAATTATTCTTTTCAGGGACTCTCCTATCTAAATTTAAAAATATGTGCCAGTTAGAAATGAACTCTTTGGCTTGGTTTTGATCCTTACTGACTTTGCTGGACTTTCATGTTAACATTTCCAAACACTTCCCACTTTAAACAATAATTGCTTTTTGAGGCTTGTCCTCTGACATTTACTGTTGCCTAGGTGTGGTGTGCAGAATGGAAAATAAAGTAATTCTGTTACTTAGTTTGACAACAGATATGCACATTCCGTGCCTAACAATCGGTGTTAGCAGGATTTTTCAACAGCAGCAGTGTTTTGCAGCTTTATAGTACTTGCCTAGGAGAGATTCAAACATAAGAAGCAAATGTTGCTGTTTCACCAGAAGAGAAACTGCAGTATGGAGTGTTTAATCCACTTAGTCAAGATTGGAAGAAAATTGAAAGGAAAAGATGTGGCTGTGCTGTAAACACTTATTACAGAACCCATCTGGGAATGTTTAATCAAATTGGATCACTGGCAGATATATTTGAAAGCAAAATGATGAAGAAACTTTTTGGTGCACACTTTAAGATGTCTGGGTACCACGAAGCAGTTTGGCTGTGACAGGGAACGTGCTCCCCTGCCTGAAATGATTTTGGCTGGTTTGAATTCTTGGCAGAAACGAACGGTTATCTAATACTTCACAGTTGCTATTTCTCTCCCTTAAAATAATACAGTCATGTTTTGGCTAACGTTCCTGTTCATATCTATCATTCCTATTCATTCCAATAGACATCTGTTTTCTAGGAGGTATATTAATAGCTTTGCATGTGTTTTGCAGGGTTACTCCAGGAGTTAGCCGCTTTCTACTGAGATACAAATTCATTTTTTCTGTGTGTATGAACCTGATGTGAGATTGTATGAATACATTTTTGAATGAAGTTAATATTCCGCGTTTAAACAAATAGATTTTTCCTTCAGAATGAATTGATCAGTAACCTATTCTTCTACTTAGCAAATTAATTTTAAAAGTTGCAATAAGGAGGTGCCTTAGTGAAATCATGATTCTCTGCAAAACCAGCTTCGGAAGTTTCCAGTAGCAAATCCTAACTCTTCTACTTGCATGTAAGGTCAATATATCACAATTAATATACAGATTAGTACAAATTAAAAGGAAACTAACCTTCTTTTGTCAGCAGATTGGTAGCAGGTATTGCAGTTGAGATGTACTTCAGTGAAATGATCTGAGTTGGTCTGACAAGTTACATTTTTGTCTTCCAGCACCACACCCTCATCTGGAAGTCAGTTGCACTTTCATTTTAACTTGCTAGTAAAAAAAAAAAAAAAAAGTCTTTACGTTTCTGAAAACTCTTCTCAGTATGAACACTCTCACAGGTCCAGCTCTTTGGAAAGACAAGGCTCTTACTATTGCACTATGTAATTTTTTTTTTAAAAAAAAAAAAAAAAGTCTTTACGTTTCTGAAAACTCTTCTCAGTATGAACACTCTCACAGGTCCAGCTCTTTGGAAAGACAAGGCTCTTACTATTGCACTATGTAATTTTTTTTTTTTTTTTACCTGAAAGCGCAAACATTTTGTGCAAAATCAAAAGCCTTTTAACAAATCACACAATTACAATGTGTAAAGGAGAGAAACAGGGGAGGTCAGCTTGGAGCAGAGTCACCAGTAGAAAATCGGTATACGTTTTCATCAGGGCAGTACTGCACTTTTGATGGCTGCCTATACAAGTTTTGAGGGATCCCATTTTAAGTAACTTTTTAGGGGGGGTATAAAAGAAGGATGTGTTTTGTTTTTTGAGGGATTGTGGGGTCACTCTTTCAGTATGTGGATATGTGATAGTGAGCAAAACCAGGAAGATGGTAGGGAAAAGACATGAAAGGAAGTGGCAAGTTTTTAACCAGAGTGTAAGTCCTGCACCCGGTGAGAGAGTTCTCAGGGACTTAAATGTTACTATAGGCAGACTCATAATCAAGTTAGTGTTTGATAGTGTTTCTACAGGACCTGCAAGTAAGGCAGGAAAGCAAGAGGAAAAATAAAAAGACGCTGTTCCTTCCATGAGGTGGTGTTCCTTCCGTTTGCAGTGTGCTGTCTAGATTATAAAAAGTTGATGCAGTTACAGGAAAGGGAAGATGGAAAAGTTCTGCCGTCACATGCAGATATTGTTATCTCTGCACTGAGGCATGGGCTTTCTCAGGTTAAGAATTCCTAAAATGACTGGATCTTAAATGTGCACAATCTACTCAGCATCAAATTGTTCTTCTGTGTAGGCAGGGTATCAGGTAGTCTTCCAGAGGTTTTGTTCTGTTTGGATTATCCTATATCCTGTAGCAGCAGTCCAGTGAGTCTCAGTAAATGTAATACTGATACCAAATAATAGAGATCTTGGGCAGACCAGAGGTCAGGTTTTGTTTTTTGGCACACTGACTAAAAAGATGCACCTGCTACAGCTGGATTAGCCATTGTTTAAACTATTTTGGAATATGTGAAAGTAAAAGATTTTCCAAATGGGCAGCTAAGAATGCAACAGGCAGATGCTTACCAATGCTTCCAGCTTCATTTGAATTCACAAAAAGAAAGCAAAATAGGTTGGGAAAAGAATTAGAAACTATAGCAAGAGTGTTGCAGGATTTGTGCATATTTCTGTAGCGCTTTCATCTTGAGTTATCACAGCGCTTTGCTCGTGTAATCCACTTAGTCAAGATTGGAAGAAAATTGAAAGGAAAAGATGTGGCTGTGCTGTAAACACTTATTACAGAACCCATCTGGGAATGTTTAATCAAATTGGATCACTGGCAGATATATTTGAAAGCAAAATGATGAAGAAACTTTTTGGTGCACACTTTAAGATGTCTGGGTACCACGAAGCAGTTTGGCTGTGACAGGGAACGTGCTCCCCTGCCTGAAATGATTTTGGCTGGTTTGAATTCTTGGCAGAAACGAACGGTTATCTAATACTTCACAGTTGCTATTTCTCTCCCTTAAAATAATACAGTCATGTTTTGGCTAACGTTCCTGTTCATATCTATCATTCCTATTCATTCCAATAGACATCTGTTTTCTAGGAGGTATATTAATAGCTTTGCATGTGTTTTGCAGGGTTACTCCAGGAGTTAGCCGCTTTCTACTGAGATACAAATTCATTTTTTCTGTGTGTATGAACCTGATGTGAGATTGTATGAATACATTTTTGAATGAAGTTAATATTCCGCGTTTAAACAAATAGATTTTTCCTTCAGAATGAATTGATCAGTAACCTATTCTTCTACTTAGCAAATTAATTTTAAAAGTTGCAATAAGGAGGTGCCTTAGTGAAATCATGATTCTCTGCAAAGCCAGCTTCGGAAGTTTCCAGTAGCAAATCCTAACTCTTCTACTTGTATGTAAGGTCAATATATCACAATTAATATACAGATTAGTACAAATTAAAAGGAAACTAACCTTCTTTTGTCAGCAGATTGGTAGCAGGTATTGCAGTTGAGATGTACTTCAGTGAAATGATCTGAGTTGGTCTGACAAGTTACATTTTTGTCTTCCAGCACCACACCCTCATCTGGAAGTCAGTTGCACTTTCATTTTAACTTGCTAGTAAAAAAAAAAAAAAAAGTCTTTACGTTTCTGAAAACTCTTCTCAGTATGAACACTCTCACAGGTCCAGCTCTTTGGAAAGACAAGGCTCTTACTATTGCACTATGTAATTTTTTTTTGTTTTGTTTTGTTTTTTTACCTGAAAGCGCAAACATTTTGTGCAAAATCAAAAGCCTTTTAACAAATCACACAATTACAATGTGTAAAGGAGAGAAACAGGGGAGGTCAGCTTGGAGCAGAGTCACCAGTAGAAAATCGGTATACGTTTTCATCAGGGCAGTACTGCACTTTTGATGGCTGCCTATACAAGTTTTGAGGGATCCCATTTTAAGTAACTTTTTAGGGGGGGTATAAAAGAAGGATGTGTTTTGTTTTTTGAGGGATTGTGGGGTCACTCTTTCAGTATGTGGATATGTGATAGTGAGCAAAACCAGGAAGATGGTAGGGAAAAGACATGAAAGGAAGTGGCAAGTTTTTAACCAGAGTGTAAGTCCTGCACCCGGTGAGAGAGTTCTCAGGGACTTAAATGTTACTATAGGCAGACTCATAATCAAGTTAGTGTTTGATAGTGTTTCTACAGGACCTGCAAGTAAGGCAGGAAAGCAAGAGGAAAAATAAAAAGACGCTGTTCCTTCCATGAGGTGGTGTTCCTTCCGTTTGCAGTGTGCTGTCTAGATTATAAAAAGTTGATGCAGTTACAGGAAAGGGAAGATGGAAAAGTTCTGCCGTCACATGCAGATATTGTTATCTCTGCACTGAGGCATGGGCTTTCTCAGGTTAAGAATTCCTAAAATGACTGGATCTTAAATGTGCACAATCTACTCAGCATCAAATTGTTCTTCTGTGTAGGCAGGGTATCAGGTAGTCTTCCAGAGGTTTTGTTCTGTTTGGATTATCCTATATCCTGTAGCAGCAGTCCAGTGAGTCTCAGTAAATGTAATACTGATACCAAATAATAGAGATCTTGGGCAGACCAGAGGTCAGGTTTTGTTTTTTGGCACACTGACTAAAAAGATGCACCTGCTACAGCTGGATTAGCCATTGTTTAAACTATTTTGGAATATGTGAAAGTAAAAGATTTTCCAAATGGGCAGCTAAGAATGCAACAGGCAGATGCTTACCAATGCTTCCAGCTTCATTTGAATTCACAAAAAGAAAGCAAAATAGGTTGGGAAAAGAATTAGAAACTATAGCAAGAGTGTTGCAGGATTTGTGCATATTTCTGTAGCGCTTTCATCTTGAGTTATCACAGCACTTTGCTCGTGTTCTTTGCAATAGCAGAGAAGGACATTTCAGTGACTTCTAGCATATCTGCTTCTTGCACGGAACATCATTGCTTAGAGGCCTGAGCTTTCTCTCTTTAACAATCAGAGCATATCTCACTGTTCTCCTCAGCGATCTTCATCTCAACCCGGAGCCCAACAAGATAGAATAAGTAGGGTAGAATTGAGAAGGCTCCCAAAGAAATATATCTGTGCAGTGACTGGCGAAACAGCGTTTGTGTTATCGGTTGCTAGGAGGTCGTGTGGGCAGGCTGTAGGAAGGCGATTCATGTACATCCTGTGCTGTTTACCACAGTGCCTCAGGTCATTATAATTTGGCAGGCTATGGGGAGGACACAATCGTCCAGTCAGGGTACAGAAATACTGTGGTTGTGTAATACTAGATTTTAGTATAGCCCTATGGGCTCAAAAATAACAAGAACCTATTTAATAAGTAAGAGAGTGAATGCAAGATGACAACGGCTCTTGCTTGACTAAGAAACACTTGTGGCTGTGGGGTGAAGGTGGGGAAAAAACCTTTTCTAAACGCAGTGGCTGGCGCCATCAGAGGCTGTGAACTCTAGCTGGGAATAACTAGTGGCAGAATCGAGCAGCCCTCAATGCTTTGCTGCAGAAGCCGGCGTCGTTTTCTAGTGTTGTCGCAGTCTTTTCTACTTGTAGCCAGTGTGCTCGCAGCCACGTTCTAGTATTTACCGTATGCGAACCAGATGTCCAGCGGTGTTGGCTGGGAAAGATGAGAGAAAACTATAGAACTGGATTGTGCCAGGGAGCGGAAAATACTGCAGCCTTTAGGGGGCCCATTTTCTCCAGTAGAAGACCTTCATATAACAGCAGCTAGTACCACACTGCTATCTGCTCTGCTCAGTCCAGTTTCTGCTTGCGAGAGAGTTGAGAACATCTATTTACCAGTGCCCTTCTAGGAAGCTGCCAAGTCTGTACAAGTCACCACAGACTCCTGATCTTTAGCAGGGAGGGGCAACCTACCAGGCTCACCAGTGCAGCACCCAGCGTGACAAGAGACATAGTTACTGGGCGTTCAAGTAGTAGGTTATCCTGCCATAGCCTTCCTAGCTAAAGAGTTGAAGACTGGGCACTGAAATATAGATAACTAGATTGCAAAGATTAAGTGCTTTTGGCTTTTGAAACCATGTTATATGGCAGCTTCTTTAAGTAACCGTTATACTGTCGGTGCCTCTGCCACGTTTAGTGCTCTTACCAACAAAGGGCCCATTTAACTTGATTGTGTGAAAGTCTAATCTTAAGCATGTTATTACCCTCTGGTAATGAAGATGGGGCTTCTATTAGGGTTATGATCAACTCTCTATGCATGTTTTTACATATCATCTTTGCTTATGAGACTGTCATGAAAGGTTTAAAAATATAGCAAAGCTTACAATGTTTTCATTGGAAACTTT